TATTAAGCTAATATTCTTAAGGATAACCCGGTTAGTTAACTGATAATAATGTCCGAACCAGTTCCGCAGAGGAAACTGGGGGTGGACGATTTATGTAATGGGAAGTTCCCAAAACCACAGCAATGTAATGAATAAGAACTCCCATTCTCACCATGTCTATGCACTCAACACTCTCTCTGTTAGAGTCTGGACGTAAAGTACCCACTTGGTCAAACCTTCTTACAGTTAGGACCACAGTCAAAATCCCCTCTCGATTCCCCCAATGAACGAGAGGTCCACAAATTGAGCGATCAAACCTTCCTACAGTTAGGATTGTCTCAAAACACCCACTTGGTCAAACCTTCTTACAGTTAGGACCACAGTCAAAATCCCCTCTCGATTCCCCCAATGAACGAGAGGTCCACAAATTGAGCGATCAAACCTTCCTACAGTTAGGATTGTCTCAAAACACCCACTTGGTCAAACCTTCTTACAGTTAGGACCACAGTCAAAATCCCCTCTCGATTCCTCCAATGAACGAGAGGTCCACTTTCAAATCGAGTGATCAAACCTTCCTACAGTTAGGGTCATCTCAAACTCCCGTTTGGTCAAACCTTCCTACAGTTAGGACCAAAACCACAATTCACTCTCGATAAACGAGAAATTTATCTTTAGTTCGGTAATCAAACCTTCCGACAGTTAGGGTTATCCGAATCTTTTCGATTCTCGGAGTGGAGATCCCACTCTCAGTTTCACCTTTCCGGATTCTGGGGGTGGAGATCCCACCTTGAGTATTCTTTCCAACTGGAGATAGAATATAAAATTCTTCCTCTTTAGCTTTGGGAGATAGAATATAAAATTCTTCCTCTCCCATATCGGGTTCGTCTTTGCCCCAAGAGAAGACACCACTTTTTCAAACTTCTAAAATCCGTGCGTCACACGCACGGGGAATTTTATCTCAACTCCTGAATGGAGATAAGTCTACGCCTAACACGCGTTGCCAGTTTAGTCTTTCACCGATTGAAAAAGACACCAAGGTCTAAACTTGGAGAATTTTATCTCAACTCCTAAATGGAAAAAAGTCTATGTCTAACACGCATTGCCGGTTTAGTCTTTTACCGATTGAAAAAGACACCAGAATTCAAATCTGGGGAATTTTATCCCGAATCCTGAGAAGGGATAAGTCAACGCCTAACACGCGTTGCAGGTTAGTCCTTAACCGTAAAAAGGACAAAAGCCCACATATTCAATATTGTGGCAGGTTGTTATTAATAACGCCAAAATCCGTGCTTTACACGCACATGGAATTTTATCCCGAAGCCTAAGCAGGGATAAGCCAACGCCTAATACGCGTTGCCGGTTTAGTCTTTTATCGATTGAAGAAGACACCAGAATCCGAGTTTGGGGACTTTTATCCTGAATCCTAAGTAAGGATAAGTCATCGCCTAACACGCGTTGCCGGGTAGCCTATTCCCGTAACAATGGCGAAGTCTACGTATTCGAAGTCGTAGCATCAAGTCTAAGGGAGTTCATTCCTTTAGCATAACGTCACATTCGGAACGGATTTCAACAATCCGATTGCTAGCCTGATTCAAACGGTAATCGGTAAAGGCATATCAAATCCGTTGATGGCTGAGGATTTGCCAAAAATCCTAAGTCAACGTCTGATACACGTTGCTGTTTAGTCTTTTCACAGGAGAAAGACGAAGTCTACGTATTCAACATCGTAGCACTAAAAGGGTTAACTCTTTTAGCTTAACGTCACATGCGGAACGGACTTAAACAATCTGCATGCTAGCCCGACTCAAACGGTAGTCGGTAAAGGCTCATCGAACCCGTTGATGGCTGAGAATTTGTCAAAAATTCTATAAGTGCGAGTCATTGACGCACTAGCTCCACTAGTTGGTCTCGTGACTTGAGCATCCAACAACTTCAGGATAAGATCCACACATGCAGATGAATCAACTTTCATAGTTGGTCCTGCAATTCCGACACTTGGGACCACCACGCTCCAATACCTTAAGAGCTTAAACTGTGTATACTCCAGTAAACGTACGAGTATAAACTGTGTCAACGTATGACAATTTAAACCCTAAGGTCAACGCCGGTCAACGCGTAACCTTAGGTCAACGCCGGTCAACGCGTAACCCTAGATCAATGCCAGTCAACGCGTTGCGACCAAAAAGTCAAAGTTCGACGTTCGAAACCCTAGGGTCAACGTCGGTCAACGCGGAACCCTAGGTCAACGCCAGTCAACGCGTTGCGACAAAAAGTCAACGTTCGACGTTCGAAACCCTAAGGGTCAACGCCGGTCAACGTGTAACCCTAGATCAACGCCAATCAACGCGTTGCCACAAAAAAGTCAACGTTCGACATTCGAGACCCTAGGTTAACGCCGGTCAACGCGTAACCCTAGGTCAACAACGTTCGACATTCGAGACCCTAGGTTAACGCCGGTCAACGCGTAACCCTAGGTCAACGCCAGTCAACGTGTTACGACAAAAAAAGTCAACGTACGACATTCGAAACCCTAGCGTCAACGCTGGTCAACGCGTAACCCTAGGTCAACGCCAGTCAACGCGTTGCGACCAAAAAGTCAACGTTCGACGTTCGAAACCCTAGATCAACGCCACTCAACGCGTTGCGACAAAAAGTCAACATACGGTGATCTGAAATCCTAAGTCAGCGCAATGTGACAAAGATAGTCAGTTCAAAGTCAATGACACGAGCCAAACTCAATTCATCAGCTGTAGACTCGAGACTCCGACGACGGCCAAGCGATAAACACAGTGCCGAAAGAACTTCGGCTATTCGTCAAAGCATCGAATAGACCGAAAATCGAAGGAGCCAA